AAGGAATGAGGACTGCATCAATTTGATATAAAAATATCTTCCTGAATGGGGATCTAGACGAAGTGTATTTAGAGATATTATCAGGACTTTCAAACATTCCAACAAACACATAGTATCTAAACTGAGAAAGTCTCTCTATGGGCTTAAGCAATCACCAAGAGCATGGTTTGAAAGTTTACAAAGACTATGAGATCTAATGGCATTTTCAAAGTCAAGTAGATTAGATTTTATTTGTAAAATACACTCAGTATGATAAGATTGTTGCACTGATAGTATATGTAGATAATATGATTCTTATTGGTAGAGATTCTCAAAAGAAAAAAAAAAAAGTTCTTGCTGTGGAGTTTGAAATCAAGGACCTATGAACCATTAGATGTTATCTAGGTGTGGAGGTGACAAGGTCCAAAAAAGGCATAATTATATCATAAAGAAAATACATCCTAGATCTACTAAAAGAGACATGAATGATTAGATGTAGGTATGTTGATATTCTAATGAATCCCAACTAAAAGTCAGAGCTAAGAAGAAAACATCTCAATGGATTGTCGGCGTTTAAAAAGGGGGGAGTTACACTCATTTATCTATCACATACGAGGCCAGATATTGCATACTCTGTCAATATTGTGAGCTAACACTTCAACAACAGCAACAACAACAACAACAACAACAACAAAGCCTTAATCCCACTACGTGGGGTCGGCTACATGAATCCTTTTTCTCCATTGCGTCCTATTTAGTGTCATATTTTCATTTAGTTCTAGTAAATTAAGATCATTTTTAATACAATAAGCCCAAGTCTTCCTAGGACTACCTCTGCCTTTCTTAACACAAGTCGAATTTAAAACATCTACTCTCCTAATCGGATCATCTAATGGTCGACGTTTAATATGACCAAACCATCTAAGACGACTTTCTCTAATTTTGTCTGTCACAGGAGCTACACCAACCCTATCACGAATATATTCATTCCGCATTTTGTCTCTAAGTGTAAAGCCACTCATCCACCTAATCATTCTCATCTCGGCAACACTTAACTTATTATTATGCTTCTCTTTTAAAGGCCAACATTCAGCGCCATAGAGCATTGCAGGTCTCACCACCATCTTATAAAATTTTCCTTTCAGTCTTAGCGGTACTTTTCTATCACACAAAAGGCCCGAAGCATTCCTCCACTTCAACCAACCAACTTGAATTCTACTATTAACACCCCCATCTATATCCCCATCGCTTTGGACAACGGACCCAAGATATCTAAATCGTTCACACCTTTTAATAATTTGATCACCCAAAGTAACACTTCTGTCACTAGAGCTATTAATACTAAAATTACATTCCATGTATT